GGTTCTTTCCATCTTACTTTTTGGGACAGACTCTCTCACTGACCTGAGGCTCAGGTTATGCTGGCTGGCTAGTGAGCCCCATGGATCTGCCTAGCTGTACCTTTAACTCCACAACACTGGGACTATAAGTGTGTTCCACCATGCCTGGCTTTAATTTTTAAACGTGGGTTCTGGGGATTGAACTAAAGCCTTCATTTTTGTATAGCAGACACTTTATCAACTGAACGCTCTCTCCAGCCTGACATTTAGGGTCTCAGTTCCTTTTCTTTTTTCCATTCCTATTGTCCTTTCTTTTGTTTTTGCTATTGGTGAGATATGTGTGTGTATATATATATATATATGCCACATCATCATAAGTTGTTGTCAAATAAACAAAGGTAGCATCCTAGAAATGGGAACATTGTGTTGTTCATTAGAAAAAGAACATATGTTTACCTTGGGAGAGGTCACTGTTTGGAGCCTTTTGGAAGATTCTTAGTACTAATTCAAAGGTTATGTTATACCTCAACTTTCTTGGCCATTGTAATAAATTTTCTCAGAACTTCCAAACAGCAGTTTACTGGCCTACTTTGGATTATTATGTCTACTTTAAAGTACATTCATCTCTTAGCCTTCGGATCTTCTTAACATTTTCTCCTGATCTGTAGGCATTTATGATGCCGCTGTCCTACCTTGTTTTGTCAAATTTGGATATCCTCCGGTCTCACTCCGGTCTCACTCCGGTCTCACTCTCATTTCACCATGTATAGGGTATCTAGTAGTTCTCAAAAGTATTTACTACTCTTTCTCCTGTTTCCTGAACTTGGGCACTTTTTTTTTTTTGTCAAGGGCGATGCATCCTTGTCATTTGATAGATGACTGGAGTTTTTAACGTCCTGAAAGGGACAAGTTGGTCCTTCATAAATTGTTACTCTCACCCCCAATTTGAATATTGAGGTATGCTGATAAAGCAAACCCAGTTTTTTGGGTCAAGTTTCATGTTGTGTACCATACATGTATGAAGGTTAGGTTTTCAGTATTGCAAAGCATTTTCTGGAGCATTTCATGGAATACTAATGACTTTAATTAGTAGAGTTTAGACTTTATCTTGAGGAAAACTATCTGTCTGTCCATCTATCATCTATCTATCTAATCTATCTGAGACAGTTTCAATAGCTCTGACCAGCTTCAAACTTCCAGAGATCTATCAGCCTCTGGTTCCCTGGGATTAAAGGCATGCACCACTATGCCTGGCTAGGCTTTATTTTTGTTGCTTGAGAATTTCAGATGCAAATAATATGTTTTTATCAAATACACACCCTGAGTATGTTCTGTAGCTTTTTGAACTTGAGTGTATTTAGTGTGAAAATGCTGGGTGGAGGGTCCATATTTCTTAGTCCTGGACATGGAACTCAGGACTGCACATGGTAAGGGATATACCTTCAGCTCTTTCTTTTTTTGCACAGGATGGTTTAGATAACTGCACATTGGAAATTCTCAGGGAGTTTTTAAAAATATTGGTTTCTGGGTCCCACACTCAGGTTTTTATTTTGGTCAAGCAGATGGCATGGGAATTTTTAATCATTCTCCAGGTGATTTATAATGTGCACTTAGGATTCAACACCACTGATCTAGATGGTTTCTAAACTATGTAGAGATAAAATAATAATGATTGTGAATTTAGCTAATTGAAAATGAATTTCATTTACCTGCACAAACATCTGTTGAGCACCTAAGATCAAGATAAGTAAGTCACCACCAGAGCTCAGAGCCCTGGCTTTCAGTCTTCTATTAAACCCTGACTCTTGTAAAAGGGGACTATTCATCCCCTTTCTTCCCTCCAGAGTCTTTAGGGCCTGAGTACAGCAGGGATAACAAGAGAGGCCCCAGATCAGGAAAAAAATGGATGTGAAGTGGGCAGTAAAGCAAATAAAATGACCCCAATGTCCTACAGACACCTTCCTGGCAAGGCTGGCCCACTCAAGACACCCACAGGATCCAGGATCCACAAAACACTCTGGGCAGGTGAGTAAGTAAATAATTAGCCTTCCACAAACACTTTCATTCAGACATGCCTGGTTTTACTAAATTAGGGTGGAGGGGTGTAATGCCCATAGTGTGGAAACAAGTAACACTTCAAATTGGATTTCTTTTTTAACCCTTTGGTTTTTATCTTTAGCCTGGCCAGAGGGGTGCTTTTAGTCCATATGATGCCTTTTGGTTAGTTGTACCAGTCAGAAAAAGGGATGGCTACCATGCTGGCAGAAATCAAGAACTTTGCATGGCATCTGAAGCATCCCATTTCCTTGGCCCAGGTAACTGAGTTTATAGTAGCTCGCCACACCAGGTTCCAGTTCCTGGTTCATCACATCCAGGATAATGCTGGATTTCCCCCTTTCATTTGTTTTGTTTTGTAGCATGCCAACAAGAACACAGCCTTGAGGCCATTTACCAGGAGTGATTATTTGTTTTATACACTCTCAAAACAGAGAACATCTGTCTAGCCAAGGAGAACTGTAAAATGACACAGTGATTTCCACATTTAGGGTAGCTTCTATTGGTCTGGGTTTTCTTTTCCTTCCTGCACTGTGTTCGGCTCAATCACCTGCACAGTGTACTGATCCAATAGGTTATGATGCCAAGTAAACGGAACTTAAACAGGTTTCATTCATGTGATCAAGTTTGCAAATCAAATGTTTTTCCCCCTTTATATTTTTCTATGTGTATGGGTGTTTTGCCTGCATGTTTGTCTTAGTTAGGATTTCTATTGCTAGATAAAACACCATGACCAAAAAGCAACTTGTGGAGGAAAGGAAAGGGTTTATTCAGCTTATGCTGCCACATCCTAGTCCATCAAAGGAGGCCAAGATAGGAATTGTAGTAGGACAGGAACTTGGAGGCCAGAGCTGATGTAGAGGCCATGGAGGGTTGCTGCATACTGGCTTTCTTATGGCTTGCTCAGCCTACATTCTAATAGAACACAGGACCTCCATTCCAGGGATGGCCCCACCCACAGTGGGCTGGGCCTTCCCCACCAATTACTAATCAAGAAAATGCCTTACAGGCGAATCTTTTAAAATTTTTAATGATTTATTTGTACTTTATGTGCATTGATGCTTCGCTTGCATGTGTACCTTTGTGAGGGTGCTGGATTCCCTAGAACTGGAGTTAGAGACAGTTGTGAGCCGCCATGTAGAAGCTGAGAATTGAACCCTGGTCCTCAGGAAGAACAACGTAATTACTGAGCAATCTCTCCAGCCCCCTCTTATGGAGGCATTTTCTCAATTAAGGTTCCCCTCCTTTCAGATAACTCAGGTTTGTGTGTCCAATTGACCTAAGTTGACATTGTGCCAGCACAACGTGTCTGCACTATGGTGCATGCGGTGCTTAGAGAGGCCAGAAGGATGTTGGATCCCGACTGGAACTGGAGTTACAGATGGTTTTGAGCCACCATGTTGGTACTGAGAGTTAAACTCCTCCTTTAGAAGAACAGCCAGTACTTTTACACAGATGGAATCATCTCTCTAGCCCCCAGAAATACATTTTAGGGGAGATGGGTTGTCTTAAATGCTGTGGTTCTGGAGATACAGTTCAGACTTTCTGTTTTAATTTCCTAAAACCAGTTACAGAAGAGCAAAGCAAGCTGGATTATTTTCTGACAAATGGGTTTGCCAAAGGTACGGTTTTGCTAGGAAGAGAATTCAGTGATTCATTGGGCTGCCGCTTGTATTCCCAGCTGCTTTTGTTGGAATGGGTGTATGGCATGATTCTGTGTCCTGCCTTTCTGTCTGATTTGAGGCTTTGTTTTGGAGGTGACTTAAGCTCCTTCAGTTTGGCTATCAAGTCACTTGCCCTTCATTTTCCCTGTGTCTTTTGTCTCTTAAAAGGACACTTATTGGGTTTAAAGCCCACTTAGACAGTCTAGATGCCCTTATCTGGTGATATGTAATTCAATTACATCTGCAAAAGACTTTCCCTAGTAAAGGCCTGTTTCTTCTCTTTTTTTCCCCATGAGGAGCCAGTCTACATTGGTTCTTCATTTACCTTTTTCAGGGAATGGCTGCTTTGCAGATATAATTGCAGGATTAACTGAATTTTGCTCTTTCAAGTATTGCCATGTTGTTGGAGATTCTGACTTTGCCAAATGAGCCTGTTGGAGGTTAATGAATGCTGATTTGTTTTCTTTCGTTTTGTTGAGACAGGGCTTCACTCTGTAGCCAAGACTGACCTGGAACTCACACTGTAGCCAGGCTGGTATTGAACTCTTGGCAAATTCTCCTGTCTTAGCCTCCAGAGCCACCATGCATGTCCAGCCAGTTAGTTCATGGTGCCAAGCTCTACAGAGGGGCGAGTTGTGAGGTGGGGCAGGATGGAGAGAGGAAATACTCACGACCCAGTAGTTTCTTCTGTTGGGATTGTTCAGTTTTTGCTGGTTCCGAGTTTGTTACTGGATGTCATTTTTTAATTTCTATTTTTTGTTTATATCAGCAACAGTTTCCTTTTGTAAACATCCAGAAAATTAAACAAAAATTCCTATTGGTAATGAAGCTCATCAATAATTGGTATGCATCCCCTTGTTAGGACTATGTGTTCCCACTAATATATTTAGCTGAAAATGGAACCTCATTCTTTTGAAATCTTTAGTTTCATTGAATGGTTATTTCCCTGTGTTTTTGGTATTTGTGGTCATTCCTTGTGTTCTTATTGGGTAGCCGGGTGTTCTTTGTAGCCTTTCCATACAGGGTGGAGAATGTTTAGATTTTCTTGTAAGTCATCAGATCATGTCACTCACTTTAGCTTTTCTTACTTTTTATTTAATTAATTTAATTATTTAAATTTGATTTTACTTATTTAATTAATGTATTTAGTTTATTTCATTTGAATGTTTGTGGTGCTGGGGATGGAGCCTAGGGCCCCAGCCATACTGGCTAGTACTCTACTACTGAACTCACACTTCGGCCTTTAGCTTTTCTTCTGGATACCTTTTTCATAATCACCTCCCCATGTTTCCTGTCTTCCAGCTGACGGTGAGGCCATTCTGAAAGGCCTTCAGTCCATTTTTCAGGAGCAGGGGATGACAGAGTCAGTGCACACCTGGCAGGACCATGGCTATTTAGCAACCTACACGAACAAAAACGGCAGGTAAGGTGATCTCATGGGCTTTAGATGGAAACAAAGTTGGGGTTAGGGGATGATATTCAAACTTTTTTTTTGTCATTTGACAATTTTAGAGGGGCCTAAAATTTGGTGCTTTTACAACCTTTTCCTGCCCAGGCATTTCCCCCAGAGCAGAAGGCCATTGGACCTGGACCTCTGTATTTCTTTAAAGCCCTAGTGATTCTTCTATGTGACTAGGACCAAAACAAGACACCTGGCAACAGAAATAGTGTGATATTTGGCCGGCAATGATGTGGAGTTGGTTAAAACCGATTTCTGGACCCCCCCGCCACACTCACACCTCAGACTTTCTGCTCCAGTGGTTCTGGGTCAGAGTCCCCTCCTCGCCTGTTGCATTTCCAACAAGGCCCTGGTTGCATTGTTGCTACAGCTGCTGGCTAGACCATTGTTAAAAGAGACTATTTTTAACTAAAGACCATAGTAAAACACAGGATGGAAACAAGTCTGGCTCAGGAAGGTGAATATCCTGTGTTTTATCTCATGGAAACTACATTTAAAATTACATGTGTGTGTGTTTATGTTTGTCAGTCATGAAACTAGAAAGGGTATCATGAAAAAGGAGGAAGAGATCCTGGAGGCTGGAAATGGAAGGTTACAAGAAACCATAAGAGAGGACTGATGGGGTAGAGGGTGAGGGGGTGGGGGATGCTTCTCAAAGGTAAGCCAAGCGCAGACTCATATTGTGCCTATGTGGCCAGTCTTCATGTATGTGTTTACCAGTTGCCTCAGGTATATCTAAAGTGATAACTTCTTCCTTTAGACTGTCCTATATTCAGTAGAACCACTAGCCTTCCTCAGCTCTCTCTTGTCCCCTGCTTCCAAAAACAGAGGGCCTTCAGCTCTCCTCTAGCCCAGTGTTTCATGTAGGCCTATACTCAGTCTCTCTTTGTCATGTACCCTCACTCTATTTTTGCTGTGGTTCTTTTTTTTTTGTGGATTAGAGCATGTTGAACACTGCTGCCTGATGGGTTCCTTCACACAAAGGTGAAAAGTTTCCAGTCTTAGCCATCTCCCAAGCCTCTGTAACAAAGCTTTACCTATCTGTTTTTTATTTAAAAAGTTAAGAGCTGGGCTGTGTGGCACATGCCTTTAATCCCAGCACTTGGGAGGCAGAGGCAGGTGAATCCCTGTGAGTTCGAGACTAGCCTGGTCTACAAGAGCTAGTTCCAGGACAGCTAGAACTGTTACACAGGGAAACCCTGTCTCCTAAATAAACAAATAAATAAATAAATAAAATTATTTTCTGCGTTTGGATATTTTACATACATATATGTCTTTCTACCATTTGCATGTAATGCCTGAAGCCATATAGTTTTGAGTTGCCTTGTGGGTGCTGAGAATTGAACCCAGGTCCTTTGGAAGAGCAAACAGTGTTCTTTATATCTTTCCAGTCACAATTCCATTTGTATACAAAGCCCTTAGAATTATTCTTTCTTCAGAAGGGATCTTTTGAGTGTCAAGAATCGTTCAGAAATGTGTGGGAGGATGGGGGAAATATATTTCAGGACTAAATAATACCTTCAGGTGAGTCCCTGAGGCCAATTCTAAAAAAGGAGACCAATGTAGAAAGTAAGTTGTTGTTGTTACTATTTTGTTTTTTTTCCGAGACGGTTTTCTCTGTGTAACAGCCCTGGCTGTCCAGGGTGGCCTCCAACTCACAGAGCTCCACCAGTCCCTGTCTCCCAAATGCTGGAATTAAAGGCGTGCGCCTGCATTACCAGGTAGAAAGTAAGTGTTTAGATTAAAATACTCGTAATGGTTTCGTCACACATTCTTCCCTTTTGTATGTAAACAATTTGTTCAAAAGTTACACCATTCTTAGCCTTCCAGCTAGCACTGAACATGGTAGGTTAGTTGGGAGAGCCCAGCAAGTACCAGAGGCAGTTCAAGCCAGACAAAATTCCAGCACTGGAGAAGGGTAAGTGGGCACAAAGTGTTAACCTTAGCTAGCCAAGAAGCTAATTTTAATTAATACCTGCTGGTAGAAGGAAACAGGGTTTCTTTCAATGGGATCACACTGGGTATATTATCTATACTCCAGGACAGGCCTCATGCTCAGGAAAACCAAAAACAGAACTAAAAATCACATGATTATGTTGGAATAAGGGCAGTGGGGCTGCATCCCGGGCACCCAGCCGCCCGCATGGCTAACTCTAGCTTATGCCCCAAAATAATTACACGGAAACTGTATTCTTTTAAACACCGCTTGGCCCATTATATCTAGCCTTTTCTCGGCTAACTCTCGCACCTGGACTAGCCCATTTCTAATAATCTGGGTAGCCCACGAGCTGGCTTACCAGGAATGATCTTAACCTGCGTCTGCCTGGAGTGGGAGAATCATGGCGATTCTCTGACTCAGCTTCTTTCTCCCAGCATCCTATTCTGTTTACTCCTCCTACTTATGTTTTAAACTATGAGGGCCAAGCAGTTTCTTTATTGCTTAACCAATGAAATCAACAGGTTGATACATGACACTCCCACATCACTTCCCCTTTTTCTGTTTAAACAAAAAAAGGAAGGCTTTAACTTTAACATAGCAAAATTACATATAACAAAACAGTTATCAAGCAAGAATTACAGTTACAATATTTATATCTATTTTATCTTTTATCATAACTAAGGAAAACTATAACTTCTATTCATTCTTCAACTCCATCAAAGACTCCAGAAGGATATAATACTACCTAAGTAAACAAGAAATAAAAAAACTCTAGAAATGACAGAGACATCCCGCAGCCTGGACAGTCACCCAAAGTTTTTTTGTACTGTTGGGGCATCCATCTTCAGCCTTCAGGCCCATAGTATCCAGCAGACATTTTCATGAAGCAGGAAATTTCAAAGTCAGTTCAGTCACTATCTGCTGCGTCCTGCAGAATGTCTCGCAGACTCTTTCATGAATCAAGAACCCCGAAAGATCATCTCACCTTTAGGCAAGTTCAGTAGTCCTCTCTCTGCGGGTTCTCTGTGTTCAGTTTATGCAATAGTCCAGGCAAGAGCAGTTTCTTGCCCAAATGGCTAACCAACTCCATAAGGATCCTCTTCGATGCCCATCTTCCTCTCAAAGTAGATTGGTGCCGCCAGGAGCAGACATGTCTCATTGTCATGAAAAGTCCTAAGTTATTAAAATATTTTAAATGCCATATTCTGCAGCCTTTGAGAGGTATGAAGAATGCCTATCTGAAATATATTTCTATATACCTAGAAAATCTAAGTGACATGACTACAAACTTGACTATTATTCATGATTATCCATCAACAACCTATATTTCCTAATTATACATTACATTTTAAAAATGAACTACACAATCACAATACCTTAATCAAGATCAAGAAATACCTATACATATAACAAAATTGACCTTAAAATCCATACCAATGCAAATTATTCATACCTACATCATTTCCCCCTTTAAATGTAAAAGAACATTTATAAACAATATTTGGGAATATGGGTGCAGTTATTTCTCTCCAAACTGCTTCCTGCTGAATGGGGGCATCGTTAATTAGGTCATTTAGGGTGTAACCTGTGCCAAGTTTATCTCAGTTGGCAGTTGAGTGAAGTAATTTTTTGAGGGTGTTTACAGGAACTTTTTGGGAGGCCGTGGTCTATCAATCATACCATATCGGGATAGATGCAATCCACAGGGTCTGGTCCTCTGTGAAAACAAAAGAAGACCCTCTCCAAAGCATCATATCCTAAGATCCAAATTTTGAAATCGTAATACCCTTATGTCCATTCTGGTTTAGCTTGGCAGCCCATGTAATGAAATGTCTCTCTGTACTTAGCTCCTTCACAGACAAAATTTTTAAAGAAAACACAATAATACAAAGGATCCAGACTCTGTGAATTTTCCATTTTTACGTGGCTTATTTTTACTTTATTTCTCTTAATCTATAACTATCTGTACTCTGTCTCTTTAAAGACTTTACCTTTTTTTTTAAAACCATTAGTTTTATTTTCTATATTCTTTTTCTTTCTCTCAAGCCTACGTACATTCATCCAACAGTGTGGTCTTTTATGTCTGAATCTGTTTTATTGTGAATCTGTAAGATTTTTTTTACTATCCAGGAGCATTTCTTAAAATGTTAAGCAGTTCTTAAAAACTTAAGTTGCACCATGTACAGGTAATACGGTAATAAGGTACAGCCTGTTTCCTGCCCAGTCTAAACCTTAACTGTGCTGTTTTTATGGTAATTACGGTAGTTCCTGCCTGAGACCAGCACAGTTCATCATGGCAGAGCCTAGCAGCTCCTGCCTCAGAGCCATTTGGTGCCCCTGAGCCACACACAGTTCCAGGCACATAGCAGTCTACATTGCCATCAACTAAGCCGTAGCACATTACTCCAAATGCTCCATTCAAAAGCTCTGTCTCCCGCAGGATCCAGACAGAGATCGCAATGGCGGCACAGCCCAGAAAGCCACACTTTAAAATGACGCAGTTTTTTTTTCTGCTGCTGTTGCTGAATCAGGAAATCTCTCTACAGCAAGCCACCAACAAACAGCAAAAATCTGTGTGAAATTCTCTCTCCCTTATTTTAAAGCCTTCTCAGGTTTTTAAGTGGATTTAGTTCATCACGTCTGGGCGCCACTCTGTTGAATTAGGAGCGGTGGCCTATGTTCCCAGCACCCGGCCGCCTGCATGGCTAGCTCTAGCTTATGCCCCAAAATAATTACACGGAAACTGTATTCTTTTAAACACCGCTTGGCCCATTATATCTAGCCTTTTCTTAGCTAACTCTCGCACCTGGACTAGCCCATTTCTTATAATCTATGTAGCCCACGAGCTGGCTTACCAGGAATGATCTTAACCTGTGTCTGCCTGGAGTGGGAGAATCATGGCAACTCCCTGACTCAGCTTCTTTCTCCCAGCATCCTATTCTGTTTACTCCTCCCACCTATGTTTTAACCTATGAGGGCCAATCAGTTTCTTTATTGCTTAACCAATGAAATCAACAGGTTGATATATGACACTCCCACATCATGCTTACAGAGGATGAGATAGCCCAGATGGTTAAGTGTTTGCCTCATGAGGATCTGTTTCCCCCTGAGAACCCATGTACAAAGGCAGGGTGGCATGTGCTTGTAATTTCAGTGTTTGGGAGGTGACCTAGGACTCCTGGCCAATCTCTCCCCCCACATACACAAGCACAAAGTCAGATTCATAGACTGAATCAATTTATAGAGCTAGGTAATATGAATCAGTCATAGACTTAGATCAATTTCAGGCCCAGGAAGTAAAATGAAAAGCTTAGTATTTGGCCCTGTCCTCTAAATCTTCTACAGGTGACCATGTCCCACTTTTCACCTCTGAATTGGAATTGAAAAGAAGGCTAGAGAATTAACTTTGACATTGAAGGAAAAAAGAACTGCCTTTTAGTCTTGATTGGGACTGCATCTTTTCTCTTTGAAGTGCCCTGATAACAGTTTCTAACAGTAAAACTACACTTTCTTTTGTAGCTTTGCCAATTTGAGGATTTATCCCCATGGATTGGTGCTGCTGGATCTTCAGAGTTACGACACTGACACACAAGGCAAACAAGAAACCGACAGGGTTGGTTTTCAATTTTCTTACCCATTTCAAAATGTGACGCATTTTATTTTCCCAGATTTAAGATTCTTAAAGTCTGCTTAGCTTCATGAATGTTGACTTTCAGGTTAGCTGAAATTTAAACTTGCCTCCATGTAAGTAGTTTGACAGAAGAATTAATCTTCAGATGACTTGGAAATCTAGCTTTTAGCCTTCCTTTTAACTTCCTGAATGCAAAGAATGGGTTTCACTTCCTGCTGGAGGGAATATAGAACCTTCCCGTACAGTTTTGCACCTGCAGTGTTCTTTAGCGTTCTGCCCCATTATTCTCTTGGGAATATTCAGAATGTGGTTAGGGCAGCATCATGAGGGAGAGTTACTGTGGGAGTGTGGAATTGGGCCAGGAAGTCCTGGTAGGCATATGGGAGCTTGTGTATTGGCCAGTATCACACTGTGCTCAGCATAGCCTTATGCCCATGCTCTGTAATTTAGTTGTTCTGTGCACTTTATATTCTCAGCTCACTAATTTCTTTTAATTGTAGCTTTTGAACAAAATAGAAGAAAAAATGAAAGAACTGAGTCAGGACAGTACTGGGCGGGTGAAGCGGTAAGTCCACCTGCTCATCCATGTCCTTTTAATATTTGTTTGATTGGCAAAATAATCAGAATGGCAGTGTTGATCTTAGTGTCTGCAGAAGATGTGGAGAAGATCAAAGTCAAATGTCTGCTACTGTCTTACACCGTGAACTGAACCATCCACTCATCCCATCGCAAACAGGACAAAATATGTAAAAACAAACAGGATGGGGGTGGGGTGGTAGTGTTGTTGGTGGTAGTGGTGGTGGTGCCAATAATGAGGCAGAAAGATGATACTGAGTAATTGCAATAAGAGCAGAAAGCCAGGTACAGACAGCCATGGAGGGAATTTACCCAGATCACTGATGATCAGAATATAGAATACTGTTTTCTTTATCTCACAGCCGATTCAGAGTAGGAAAATCTTGTTGGCAAAGGTAGGATGTTTAAGTTCTTAATGACTCAATCTGTGGAGTTTGATCAGCCCATAGGAAAGCTCCAGGGCAGATGTAGGATAACTAGGTAATTATTTAGCCTCCGGTGGTTAGGTGGGCAAGAGCAATGGGATGCGTGAGAGTACTGAAAGAACCAGTCCCCATGTAAAATTTGTGCATATTTGAGATCTGAGGATACAGATTATTTTAAATTCCACCTAAGTTCAGTTGAGTAATCCTTGACTCTGTCCACACCCACAGTACTTTCCGGACTTCATCTTTGTCTTGCTTGCAAGTTTCCTTTCCATCCATATGAATTTTAACATGCCCGACTCCAGGAAAATGTATTGGCCCACACCAAAATGCACTCTGATTTTTACCACTGCCGCTTCTCGGTGTGAGTAAATAGAGTATACTTCTGGGGCTGTGGAACTGGCTAAGTGAGTAAAAGCACTTGCTGCCAAGTTTGAATTCAATCCTCAGAACATTGGGTAGAAGGAGAAACCTGACTTGTCCACAGTTTTCTTCTGACCTTCCCAATCATGTGTACAGACACAAACACACAAATGTTTAGAAAAAATGTACTTTTTGTGTGTACAGACTCAAACACACAAATGTTAAGCAAAAGAATGTATTTCTGACCTTCAGTATTTATGAGAACTCTGGTTGGTGAAGTTTTCTAAGTGAGACTGGTCACAAGTTTTAGATTTTTATATCAAAACATAAACCTTGCTTTTGTTTGTCATTGTTTTTAACATCTTTTTTATAAAATAAGGATGGAAAGAATGTGAAGTTGGGATTACCTTGTTGTAAACACTTTGCCATTATCCCGCTCCCCATTACCGGAAGAGGATAGTTACACTTTTCTGTGTGGAATTGACACTCACTGATAGAGGAAATTAAGAACAGTTAATTTGGTAATGTTATCTAAAATTCTTATTCCCTTTTCAGTAGTGGTTATTGAATAAGAAGTTTTAACTGAGAAGCCTTGGGATTTCTACAAAGACTTGTCTTGTGTTTTCCTTTTTTATCTATTTTATTTTATTTTATTTTAAAAAAACTATCTTTTCATTTTACATACCAATCCAAGTTCCTACTTCCTCCCTCCTCCCATCCTCCCATACCACCCTCCATCCACTCCTCAGATAGGGTGAGGCACATTGCTTTGGGGAAGGTCCAAGATCCTCCCTTCTGTATCTAGGCTGAGGAAGGTATCCATCCAGAGAGAATGGGTTTCAAAGAACCAGTACAAGCAGTAGGGATAAATCCTGGTGTCACTGCCAGTGGCCCTGCAATCTGCCCCAGCCATGCAACTGTCACCCACATTCAGAGGGCCTAGTTTGGTCCTATGCTGCTTCCTTCCTTGTCTGGCCAGAGTTGGTGGGTTCCTGTTAGCTTAGGTAAGACCCATCATGGTCTTGGCCTTTTTGCACATATTCTCACTCCTCCCACTCTTCGACTGAACTTTGGAAGCTCAGCCCAGTGCGTTCCTCTGTGGCTCTCTGCATCTGCTTCCATCAGTTGCTGGATGAAGGTTCTATGGTGAGATTTAAGATAGTCATCAATCTGAATACAGGGCAAAGCCAGTTTGGGCAGCCTCTCCACTATTGCTTAGGGTCTTAGCTGGGGTCATCCTTGTGGGTTCCTGGGAATTTCTCTAGTGCCAGGTTTCTTGCTAGCCTATAATGGCTCCATCAATCAAGATATCTCTTTCCTTGCTCTCTGTCTCTGTCCTTCCCCCATCTCAACTATCCCATTCCCTCAAGTTCTCCTCTTCCTCTTCTCCCACCCTCCTCCTCCTCTGCCCTCCCTTCTCCCCCCACCCCCATGTTCCCAGTTTTGTCAGGAGATGTTGTCTATTTCCCCTTCCCAGGTTGATCTATATATGCTTCTCTTTGTGTTCTCCTTGTTACTCAGATTCTCTGGGGTCATGAACTATAGGCTCCTAATCCTTTGCTTTACAGCTACTATCCACTTATGGGTACATACCATACTCATCATTCTGAGTCTGGGTTACCTCACTCAGGATGGTTTTTTCTAGTTCCATCCATTTGCATGCAAATTTCAAGATGTCATTGTTTTTTTAACCACTGAGTTGTCAGTACTCCTTGTGTAAATGTAGCTTCTTCTGTGTTAGGATGATCAAGTTTTCCTGTTGTATGATCACTGGGTTCTGGTGTTACCATGTTGCTTTTTAGTTTGTTGAATGAATTCTTGCATTGGTGTCTTGCATTGGTGCCTACCCATCTCTTCCTCCATTTGGTGCCCGCAGTGTCTTTGCCTCTTGGTCCAATCCTTGCAGTTGCTGTCTGGATCTTTGGGAGCTGTTCTTGGTCTGCTCTGTATTGTCGCTGTTGGTGTCTCATGGAGCCGCTGAGGTCTCTCTTGGCCCACTTTTGGTCTGCTCTCTTGATTCTTCCATCAGTTGCAGCCTGTGCTTTAGAGTTCCTTTGAGGCGGAGTGAGACCTGTAGTTTATAGGGGCAGATGGATAGGGTGAGGATGTTGGAGCAGCCTAACTCTTGGTCCTCTCTGTGTATTTGTATCTTGTTTTTCAGAGTTCCTCTGAGGTTGTGGTGGAGTGGGGGTTATAGGACAGGAGGGTTTGGGGGCAAAGTGGGACTTGTAGCTTACAGGGTCCAATCAATGGGATGGGTGTGTTGGAGCAGCCTACCTAGAGGAAAGTTGCCTGTTGGCTGACTACAGAAGTTGTTGCAGGTGGGGGAGGGGCCCCAGGATTTTGCCAGGTTATGGAAGGCCTAGAAAGTGGGGTGCCCCGCTAGTTGGGCGATCATTCACCTCTTGGTCTGTTCAGTTTGTCTTGTGTTTTGAAGTGGAAAGGAACGAGAAGTTATAGTTTGGGGAAAATTCTTGTAATGTGTATAGTGTAGTTGAGGTCAGGAAGACATGGGATTGGAAAGGTTGATTTTTGTGGGGCTGTTGGGGATCTCCTGGTAGCCCACTGCAGGGCATCACACTTTATGATGCTTTGAACTCATATTAAGCTAATGGCTGCCACATCCTGATAGAGATCTTTGTTTCCTTGCCAGGCTTTAGAAATCTAGAGAAGAGAGACTTTCAAGTTAACCAAAGCAATGTTAAACCAGTTGAGAGCAGACATACATAACCGGTTAGAACTGGCTGGCTGTCAACTAGGGTGGATTTTCTACCCTGAAATCCTCTACTTTGTGTTCAGCATATATGGGAACAGTTTTTTAAAAAGCCGTTTATTTATTTAGTGTTTTTATGCATGTATATGTGTAGTTCAAATTCTAATTGGTCTTAATAGAAATTCAGAGTCTGATACTAGGGGGCAAGGTCCTGACTCAGAATCCCTCAGACTGAATGCAATGTGCTCCTGTCTCTTTCCATCTTATATTTCTCTCCTTACCTAGCCATATCCCTTCCTGTCTCCACCTCCCGAGTGCTGGGATTAAAGGAGTGTGACTCTCAAGTACTGGGATTAAAGGTGTGTGCCATCACCACCTAGCTCTGTTTCTCTTTTAGGAATCAATCTTGTGTAGCCCAGGGTGGCCTTGAACTCACTGGTCCATCTGTCTGTCTCCTGAGTGCTGGGATTATATACCCATAGCCTGGCCTGTATGGGTAACTAAGTTCATCTTCAGGCAAGCTTTATTTGTTAGTTCACAAACAAAATATCACCACATTGTGGGTAGGTGTGAAGGTCAGAGGGACAACTTGGCAGAGTTAGTCTTTCCACTTTTTTTTAATTTTAATTTTTATTTTATGTTCATTGGTGTTTTACTTGCATGTGTGTGTCTGTATTGTATGTATTTCTGTATGTCAGAAGCCCTGGAACTAGAGTCATGGACAGGTGTGAGCTGCCATGTGTGTGCTAGGAATTGAACCCAGGTCCTCTGGAAGAGCAGCCAGTGTTCTTAACCGCTGTACCATCTCTTCAGCCCCATCCTGCCACTTTTATATGACTTTCATGGATCAATTTCAATTTGTCAGACATGGTTGAAAGCACCTTATTCACTGAGCAATCTTTATTATTATTAATGTGAAATATGTTGTCCTTCCCGGTTCCCTCACTTGTTAAGTTCCAAAGAAATCACACAGGGATCTACATTAGTTATAAACTGATTGGCCCATTAGCTCAGGCTTATAACTTATATTATAACTCTTATAACTTATATTAGCCTCTTATAACTTATATTAGCCTGTTACTCTTGTCTATACTAGCCACAAGGCTTGGTACCTTATTCAGCGAGGCAGTCACATCTTACTTCTGTGACTGGGTCACGACTGCAGACCAAGCTTTCCTCTTCTCAGAATTATCGTTGCCCCACCTCTGCTTCCTGCCTGGTCACTGCGCCTATACTTCCTGCCTGGCTACTGGCCAATCAGCATTTATTTAAAATATAATCGACAGGGTACAGACCATTGTCCCACAGCAGAAATAGTTTTGTAATTGAGATTGATCAAAATCACCTATTGCCACAGGTTCCCTCTCTTGCTTTACTCATCTAAGGAAGGGACTTCTTCCAGTCCTGTTCATTACCTGTCTGGGGGCTATCTTAACTAGGCCATTACCTAACAAAAGAAATACCTCAGGTCTGCCTAATATTTGGAAAGATAAATTCATTCCCTGGAAAGATGAAATGGCTAAGGCAGGAGTTGTGAGAAATTACTTTGTTAGTTTTGGAGCAGATTACAGGTGTGTGTGTGTGTGTGTGTGTGTGTGTGTGTGTGTGTGTGTGTGTCTAAGATAGTCTTGTTAACTTGTTATCAGGTTGTGCCTGGACTGTTTGAAGCAGGTGAGAGGATACTGGGAAGTGAGGCAGAGATAGTGTGTTCCAGCATTGCAGACCTGCATAGCTGTACCGAGTACTACTTCATTTTTGGGTCTCCAGTATATTCTTATTTTGTGTTTGGGTTACATTTACTAATCCCCCTTTTGGTGTTTTCTCCTGTCATTTAGTGTCCTCTGCTGGTGGTTTCTGGTATATTCACCGTATCAGAAGCACTTGATTATTTACAAAAGCATAGAATGAGAAGCTTTTCATTTTGTCTTAAACTTCTTAATCCCATTGCCACTGGTAAATAATTGTGTAGTACTCAGTTTCTGAAGACCACAGAGTAACCTGCCTCATGTCAAAGGTACATTTGCAGATAGAGAGAGGTTTAGCAGATATCACTATAACTCAGGTTTCCTGCTTGGAAACCTGGGTGCTCTTTGCCAACCTGACTCCATTTAAGAGAATCTCAGGCTAAATCCACAGGAAGGATGACTTCCAGATACTTGATCTGGACTTTTTGGAGACAAATGGAATAGAGAAGAAGAATAAGAAAGAATATCCTAAGTGAAATGAGGGTTAGACAAAGAAGGACAAAGAAAAGAAAACGCAGTGTTTGAAACTTTATTCAAAAGCATAACAACTATGATGGACATAATTGGGACAACTCAGAATACTTGAAGGTGGATTCTGTACTAGATAATGGAACTTGTAACTACAGTAATGGCCATGTGGTTTTGCAGACCTTTGGTGTTATGTACTGAAAAGTGTAATATCTACCATGCCCACTTTCTGCTTCAATTTTTCATTAGGAAAAATAAATTTAAAACCTGCCAGAAATGTTTCCCTTTCTTTTTCTTTTAAGAAATAGTTTTGTGCAATTGTTGCAACTTGGTACAGTTTGTGATTGTGAATAGGTAAGTATCCAAGCTTTGGATTTGTTTTACACTTTTAAAGAGGCTGTCTGCCACAAACACATGACTGCCTTTTATTTTCTTTTTAATTATGGGGATGCACATGAGAGTATAGGTACTGGTAGCAGTCAGAGGTCCCCTGGAGTTGGAGTTCCAGGCAATTGTGAGGAGCCACTAGCTGGGAACTAAACTTGGGTCGTCTGTTTAGGAGCTGTACGTTCTCTTAACCACTAAGTCATCTCTCTTGTCTCTCATGGTCTTTTGTATATTCTCCATGCCAAGTCCTTTTGTAAGGCAGTGTTCTACAAAGACTCATTCCTGTCTCTCCCTCTGTAGTTTACCACCCATAGTTCGAGGAGGGGCCATTGACAGATACTGGCCTACTGCTGATGGGCGCCTGGTTGAGTACGACATAGATGAAGTGGTGTATGATGAAGATTCACCTTATCAGAACATTAAAATCCTACACTCAAAGCAGTTTGGAAATATTCTCATCCTCAGTGGTGATGTTAGTAAGTATCCCATTCCCCCCCTGGTTGCATAACAAAGTTCTGATGTGTGTGGGCGGCCACTACTTTCCTGAAAAATGCCATTGTCTTGGATTTGTCTGAACTTAATTCTGACACTGCTATCTTTTAAGATTCACTTACATTGTATGAACCTATGGGTTGTCTGGATGTTTGTGTAAACTTTGTCTTGAAATAGATTTTCCTTTGATGAGTAGTTAGAAAGTACAAGTTGCTGGAGTAAAAATAGCATTTTATTATGAAAAAAATTCCAATCTAAGTAGACAAACTCATGCATTGAGCCGACAGGTACTCTCCATGGAACTTTGAGAATACCAATGAGTTAGCCAGTGTTGTTTCATCTAGCCCTGCTGCATATTATCTTGAAAGTAGCTCCCAGATGGCATATCTTATCATCTTTAAAGGTATCATTTCTTTTAATTACTCAGAATATCAGCTCACTCTCAATATTGTATTTCTGTCTAAGTAACTTAGTTCTCTTTATCCTATGTGATTGTGAAAACTACTCAATCAAAAAAATCAAACTTGCACATTATGGACAGTTTTTGAAAGTTGGGAAATTTCCATTGCAAGCTAGATTTCAGCAGGTCAGGTGGTTTGTGTATTTGGGTAGAATGATCATTTGGGTCTCTTCTCCTCCCTAGATTTGGCAGAGAGTGATGTGGCATATACTCGAGCCATCATGGGCAGTGGTAAAGAAGATTACACTGGCAAAGATGTGCTGATCCTGGGAGGTGGAGATGGGGGCATATTATGTGAAATTGTGAAACTGAAACCAAAGATGGTCACTATGGTAGAGATATCCTTTATTGTATAAGAGAACAACTTCAGGGCCTGGAGAGAGAGGACTCGCTCTTACAGAGGACCTGGGTTCAGTTCCAAGCACCCATTTGCTGACTAACAACTATCTGTAACTCCAGTTCCAGTATATCTGATGCCTTTTTTTGGCCTCCGGGTACCAGGCATGTATGTGGTGCATGTTTATAACAGCTGTGCACACTCATACGTATTTTTTTAAAAGATAAAAAAATTAGTGAGGGGGGAGAGAATGAGAGAGACAGAAACAGAACAAGGTAAATGATTTTTGGGACTCCTTCCTTTGGCATCTTTGGACTTGAATTCCTTAGTGTGAAAATAAAGTCACCACAATACCTACTTTTTAACGTGTGATCCTTAGATGTCTGAACCTTTATGTTTTAGAGAAGATTTACTATTTCAGAATTCTTTGATATATTCGAATTCTCCTTAACCTGTTTCGGACATTGACCAAATGGTGATTGACGGATGTAAGAAATTCATGCGAAGAACATGTGGAGATGTCTTAGACAATCTTAAAGGAGACTGCTATCAGGTAATTGTGCTTCCTTGGTAATGCACTTTTAAGTTAAAGTTAAAAATACATGAGAGATCAATTGGACCTGCACCTTTTATTATAATTGGTTAAGAAGATAGTTTCTTTCTTTGTGTAAATATATTATCTATTGATACTTAGAGAGCAGAGAGTGTACAGTTACTGAAAGAAGCCTGCAGTGTGGACTCTATCAGGTTACTTTTCTTTATGTTATTGGAGATTAAACTTGGCCCTTCAGTATGCTAGGTCCCTACTACCACTGAGAGATGTCTCCAGCCCACATTAATCCTGGCATAGATGTCATGTACTTTTAAAATCTACCACCTTCTGTCGCTACTCTGAATAATACCTTGAAGTCTTGGTGTTTCAGAAGGAATTCAGATTTTTAATTGGTAGGTGTAGTTGATTAGCATGTTGCAAATAAGCAATTAGTTTCTGTCTTAACTTGTACTGTGCTTGAAAGTTGAGCAGCCACTCTGATATGTCGGGATGCATATATTTCATTCTCACAGACCCGAGGGCTTGTTAGAGCAAGATGCCCAAGCAAATACTTAATTGAATAGCATCTGAAATGTGCACCTCCAGATTGGTAAGCAATTTGGATGAGCGCTGTACTTTCAGGTGTCAATTATCTAGCACTTCTTCCCTCCCTAATGTATGCACATTTAAATTAGAATTTGTACTACATGCATGCTAATTTGAGGCAGGAATTCTACCTTAAAATGCAGTTATGATTTTTTTTTTTCGAGACAGGGTTTCTCTGTAGCTTTGGAGCCTGTCCTGGAACTAGCTCTTGTAGACCAGGCTGGCCTCAAACACACAGAGATCTGCTTGCCTCTGCCTCCAGAGTGCTGGTTAAGATTAAAGGCGTGTGTCACCACCACCCAGCACAGTTATGATTGTTTTGTGGGTCAAAGGGCAGGGCACGAAATAGTACAGTTAGCTTATCCTGTTGGATAGATTCAAAAGGGATGGTAGAATTCAGCTCTGCATAGCATTGAACTGCTTCACACTGAATTCAAAGTTACCCGTGTCTGACAAATAATGGACCAGACCCTTTCCTGCTGGATTTAATCCCTACACCATAACTTGTAGATGTTGTTCTATTATATTGGGAAGAGCCGAACCTTAGAAAGTTTAAAGGGATTTATTCAAGGTTGTGGAGGTCACTTTAGATCAGTGCAGAGTACAGGGAGTGCAGAATCCTGTCACCCTGCTTTTGGTTGTATGAATTGTATGTAAAAATTAAGGAAAGACCAGAAGCACAAACAGAGCAACAACACAATCTAGTAGTGGTATGGTGAAAATGGGAAACTAACCAATATTCCCCTGAAATGGGATATCTGACCCTCGGGGCACAGATGGTAAGCCAGATGTGGTCAGATTTGTGCAGCAAAGGTAAAAGACTGTTCTTTGTGGGATTTTTTTGTGTTTAGTTGGTACATATCGAAAGACTGTTTGACAAAAGAATGTTAAAGCCACCTGGTATAGGAACTTAATAAATCACTTATCACATCTTGTTTCTATTCAGTGGCTCTTTAGGGTAGCAGTATTCAGTGTCTCCGAAGGAACACTAGGAGGAGTCTGGACTTTTTTTGGTGCAAAGGGTTCTGAAGCTCTCAAGCAGGGTGGGAGCCTTATCTGGGAAAAGACAGACCCACCTGAACACTACCAAAGGCAACAATCCATTAAAATGCTGTTTTCAGAAAGGCAGAGATTTTTACATATGTTTAAACAACTACTCTGGTTTACATTTGTTTCAGGAACAAAAAATACTTCTTTTAGAATGACAGTAATCTTAATACTGACTAAACTAAAGGTACTATGCCTAGAAAACTAAGGATGGATTACCTATGTGTATGTATACATTCTGTTTATGTACACACATACAAAATTATCAAGTAAAATAAAGTTCAATTTAGTGACTTTTAAAAAAGTTCTATGTTATACTGAAATAGAATTTAGTTTTAAAAATTTAAAAATGAGAATTTTCAGAAATTTGTTATTAGACTGTTTGAAATGGCTTAGTGGGTAAAGTCACTTGTCTCCAAATCTGACAACCTCAATTTAATCCCTAGGACTCACTCAGACAAGGTGTCTTCTTTGTTTACACACACACACAGATACACACACACACACACACACACACACACACACACGCACTCATGCACGCACATAAAGATATTGCATTAGAGGGATTCCACCAAAACATAATAGAAAATATCAGAGATTTAATTTTAATAAGAAAATGATAATGTAAAAATTATAGTGTCAAAAATTCATTTTCATTGGAAATAGGAACCAAATTATGGATGCTGCGTATCTGAGTTTATGCTTCTTTTTGAAGCCACTAATAAGTAAGGTGGAAGTCATAAAAATAATAAAATCAAATAATTATGGAATAAAAATGATTAGAAAAATCCAAGAAATTTACCTTGACAATTACTTGGGCTTCTGAGAAATTGGTTCAGTGATTAAAGATTTAAGTGATTTAGGAAAGTTTAATTTTTTTCTTTCTGCTGAATGCAAAACACTGAAAGGAAATTGGGAGGTGTGTGGCAGGAAATCCTAGTAAAAATAATCTGCTAAATGAACTTAGCAAGAGGTATTATGAGGCTGTGGTGAGCTTTGTGATTTGACTGAAAGACATGAAATGGAGTCTGTGGAATGGCATGGGATATCTTGTGCCTGGTGATAGATAGCAGAACAGTTTCCATTGCTTCTCATTTGTTCTTCTAATTCTCATCAGAACCAATTGAGTGAGGCTAACTGATGTTTTCAAAGTTGCTCTTATTAAAGTAAATGTCTAAAAATAGCCAAGGAAACTTATGAGAACAATTATTGTGGAAGGAGACTTGTTTTGATTGCTAATTTACTGTAGTCCTATAATCAAGTAGGAAGTTGGACACAGACTGTGTAGACAGATAAGAGGGATATCATGGGAACTTGAACTTATTTGAAGTATGTGTTAAGTAACAACCTGCTAACATATGATCCCAGATGGATTCGATTCCTTTCCTTTCCTTTCCTTTCCTTTCCTTTCCTTTCCTTTCCTTTCCTTTCCTTTCCTTTCCTTTCCTTTCCTTTCCTTTCCTTTCCTTTCCTTTCCTTTCCTTCCCTTCCCTTCCCTTCCCTTCCCTTCCCTTCCCTTCCCTTCCCTTCCCTTCCCTTCCCCTTCCCCTTCCCCTTCCCCTTCCCCTTCCCCTTCCCCTTCCCCTTCCCCTTCCCCTTCCCCTTCCCCTTCCCCTTCCCCTTCCCCTTCCCCTTCCCCTTCCCCTTCCCCTTCCCCTTCCCCTTCCCCTTCCCCTTCCCCTTCCCCTTCCCCTTCCCCTTCCCCTTCCCCTTCCCCTTCCCCTTCCCCTTCCCCTTCCCCTTCCCCTTCCCCTTCCCCTTCCCCTCCCTCCCTTCTTCCTTCTCTCTCTTAATTTTTTCAGACAGTCTAGCCCTGGAATTTGCTTTGTATGTAGACTAGGTTGGTCTCAAACTTACATATATCTGCCTGCCTCTGCCTCCTGCATAATGCTGGGATTTAAAGATGTGTGCCACCACGCCAGGCCCAAAATACATTTCATTTCATTTGGGTAAAGATTTAGTAAGTGATGCTGACATATTAGACTACCCACTTGCTTGAGAACTAAATCAGCTAACCCTAGAAACCATTGAAAAGAGAGATTCAGTAAACTTAGTCCCTAGATTTGGAAACTAAGATACAAAGGAAAATTTAGCTTTTAAATTGGGAAGTGAGGGGTTTAATATGACTTCATATAGGATTGTTGAAGACAAGAATAGAACATTTGAAGTTAGATAGAGTAGTTTATTGTCTATCTTTGGGATGATTACATGGGTTAAAATTTAGTGAAGAAAACAGATTGAGAGGGGCTGGAGAGATGGCTCAGAGGTTAAGAGCACTGACTGCTCTTCCAAAGGTCCTGATTCAATTCCCAGCAACCACATGGTGGCTCACAGCCATCTGTAATGAGGTCTGGTGCCCTCTTCTGGTCTGCAGGCACACACACAGACAGAATATTGTATACATAATAAATAAAAAAATATTTTTTAAAAAGAAAACAGATTGTGAGGATGTCAAATGAACTTTTTTGTGGTGCTGGGATCAAATCCTGACTTTCATACATATGGTAGGCATGTTCTCAGATGGGATGAATGTGTGGATTATAGTTAGCTGAAGTGTTTTTTTTTTTCTTTGTTGAGACAAAAATCTCACGTAGTCCAGGCTGGCCTCAAACTCCCTGTAGCTGGGTGTTCACATTTTCTCTGCCTTTGCCTACTGCAACTTCTGCAGTATATTACGTTTTATAAAACAATAGGACAGTAAAAGTCTTCAAAGATATCAAATTCCATACTTAACTTCTTACACTGTAGTCTTCCCTTCTCCTTCCTGCCAGGAACTCAATATAAAACTCAGGCTGTCCTCAAACCTGTGGAGTAGCACTTGTTCTGTCTTAGCTTCCAAGAATTGGAATTAATAAGGGATGGGCTACCACATCTGATTGTCCTCTTTTCTTATCAAGGGTCTATGCGCAACCTATAGAAACCTTTTTAAATGAGATTGTGTTTCAGTTAATGAAGGGAGCAATGGCATCCATAGAGGGACTGTTTACTCAGATGAGAAAGGATATAGGCATATGGTTGACACTTTGTTTTTCTATTAACAGACAGGGATGAAAGGTCTCTTTGGTGCTGGTGCTGTGAATTTAATCCCCAGCTTTCATTTCCTATTTATAAGTGTTCAATGCCACCCATTTGTGTTGACTCATGCATCCAATCTTGTTCATTCTGAAAGGTCCTCATAGAAGACTGTATTCCAGTACTGAAGAGGTACGCCAAAGAAGGGAGAGAGTTCGATTATGTGATTAATGATTTGACAGCTGTCCCGATCTCTACATCTCCAGAAGAAGGTAGATTGTGTTTTGAACTCTTGTTTTTTGTTTGTTTGTTTTTGTTTTTTTGAGACAGAGTTTCTCTGTAGCTTTGGAGCCTGTCCTGGAGTGAGCTCTTGTAGACCAGGCTGGCCTCAAACTCAGAGATCCATCTGTCTTTGCCTCCCGAGTGCTGGGATTAAAGGTGTGTGCCACCACCGTACGGCTGTGTTTCAAACTATATACATGTACATGTTCACAAATGTATGCGTGTGTGCATGCCAACACACAGACAGACAGACAGACGCGCGCGTGCGCGCGCGCACACACACACACACACACACACACACATACACACACACGTGTGAAGACCATTGCTCAACACTGAATATCTTCTTGAATTGCATTCTACTTTATTTTTTTGAGAGTTTCTTGCTGAGCCTAGAACTTTCATCAAGTAGGAAATGCTGGCTGGCCAGCAAGCCCTAGGAATCCTGTCTCTCCCCATCACTGGGACTGCAGAGGCACATGCCACCATGCTCATTTTATGTGTGGGTACTGGCGGACAAACTCAAATTCATACACTTGTATGGCAAGTACGTTTCCCACTGAGCCATCTTCTTAGCTCCTCTTAGTTGTTAAAAGCAGTTGAACTAGCATTGATGGTGGGAAGGTGACTGGATTTTTTATTATTATTACTGAAAAAAATTTCCGCCTCCTCCCCGCCTCCCATTTTTTTCCTTTTCCTAATGTGAAAACACAGCTTATACCTCAAAGGGTAAGAGTGTTCTGGAACCAAATATGAGCGACCATGGTTGGGGAACATGGATTCAGGTTAGTGTAAGTAGTATGTTCCAATGTGGTAACAGTTTCATGTTTTTATAGTTGTGGAACAAAAGAAATTCACAAATCAAGGCATATTTCAAATACATTGGTGGCAAGATGAAGTGGGTTACAGCAAAGCAGGGTAACCTCTGCTGGAGGAAGTTTCCAAACTTTCTGAAGACATTCTTAGTTGAGTGAGGCATTGGTGGAAGCTAGTGTGCTCTGTTAAGTTAATACCTATGAACAAAGGTCTCCTGGAATATTCTCAAGGTTAGGTCTGACACAGGTAGGCAATGAATTGCTGTTAAGGAGGCTGCAGCATTCTGTGTCTTCCACAACCAGGAATTTCCTCAGCTTCTCAGTGAATGTTACTGACTTCCTTCTTTAAGCAGCTTTTTTTCAGACTGAGCTCTGCCTTTGTGTCTAATCTTTGTTCTTTATCTGAGAGCGGTGTTGGGGATGGAACCCAGGATCTCCTGCGGATGAGCAAACTCTCTGCTACTGTGCTACACTCTCAGTCCCTATGCTATGCTATGCTATGCTAAGTCTTTATTGTGATGTACTGACTGTCTTAAATAGATGCAAACTTGATCCTGACCTCGGTGTTTGTGTAGGTGTTTGTACAGACCAGCTATATGATTGTACATTATTGTTCATGAACAAACTTTCAAGCATATGTGTCTTTAAATTAGTCTCATGTAGTGCAGGCTGACCTAAAAGCTACTATGTAGCCAAAGATGCTCTTTAACTCCTGATCTTCCCTCTGCCTCCAAAGTGCCAGGATGATGATGGGCATGTGCCAGCACACAGGGGTCTCTTCCTTTTTGTTTATTAACTATGACTGAATATTTGATAACATATTTACAAATATTTGAACATATTTACAAAACTTATTTTTTTTATATCCAGATTCCACATGGGAGTTTCTCAGACTGATTCTTGACCTGTCAATGAAAGTTCTGAAACAGGATGGGAAATACTTCACACAGGTAGACCACTCAGTCCCCACCCTTACTCCTGTGACTCTCAAGAAGAGTCAATATTTACCTATTTGAATGCATGTTCTTGAAATTTACATATGTCAGGAGAGCAACAATATATTTGAATTATACTTGTTCAAAATCTGTCGTCCTGAGATGTTACTTAACAGAAGACAATATTATCCTGATTTTGTTGGCCCTGGCTGTAGTATGAAATGTCGCCAGCAGGTGGAGACACAGACCACAATTTCTTCCCCGTCCCCCATCTTCTAGGTCTATCTCTAGGGAAAAGCCCATTTAGCAGCACACCCTTCTTGATGAGCAGCTTTACCTGTAGTGTGAGCTGCAGACACCATATAGAAGTAGATTTTTTTCTTTGTAGTTACTTTCATTCTTTAAAAAAAAAAAATTTAAAAATTTTTTTAATTAAATTTTTTTTTTAAACTTTCATTCTTGAGGGTATTCTTAACTTTAAAGAAGGTTTGAATTTGTGGTTTTGTATAAAATAGGTATATATAGGAAAATACACTTCTTCCTAAAAAGTAACAAAGGCATCTACTTGTTAATCCAGTCTCATTACTTGGTACACAAAATAGTTAATAACCAAGTTCGACCCTTGCACTCTGGTCTCGGAATTCTCTGAGTTTACTGGAGAGTATTGCTCATCCTATTACATGTAAACTCTAACTAACCCTTTTTATTTTTTATTATTTTTAATATGGACTATCTTAAGCAGAATTATGTCTTTTGTCCTGTGTACATAATTCCCATCCCCTAAAAAGACTTGACCTTGTGACCAACTTTATATTGTATTAATTTCTCAGTAATTCATTTTATTAAAGTGGATCTTTGAATTTTGCTGAATACTGTATGCTCCTTTTATTTTTAAAGATTTATTTTTATCTATGTGCATGTGTCTCTGGGTATATGCATGTGAGTACAGCTGGCTGTAGAGGCTGGAGGTGTCAGATCTGGAGCTAGAGTTACAGGGCCTTATAAGATTCCTCAGGTAGGTACTGGGAGCTGAGCTCCAGTCCCTTGGAAGAGCAGCAAGTGTGCTTAACTGCTGAGCCATCTCTACAGCCCCAGTACATTCTATTGTAAATATTTTTTGGAAATCATACTGTAATTACATCATTTCCCCCTTCCCTTTCTTCAAATCCCTTTCATATATCCCCCCTTGCTTTCTGTCATTCATGGCTTCTTTTTTTTAATTGTCAGATACATACATACACACAGATACACATATACTGGTGCATAGATATGTAAATACAACCTGCTTAGTCTGTATAATGTTACACACACACACACACACACAGTTTTCAGGGCTGACCATGTGGTATGAGATAACCAACTGGTGTGCTCTTCCCTGGGGAAGACTATTTCTCCTGCTTTCAGCATTCCATAGTTGCCTGCAGTTCTTTGTCTAGGTAGGGTTGGGTCCCATGAAACATGTATATTAGTGTCATCCTCATTCAGATGTTATTTTGACAGCCATAATATTGTAGTATCACGGGCATAGCTTCCATAGCATTTCTTTTTTTTAAATAATTTTTATATTTATTTATTATGTATACAATATTCTGTCTGCGTGTATGCTTGCAGGCCAGAAGAGGGCACCAGACCTCATTACAGATGGTTGTGAGCCACCATGTGGTTGCTGGGAATTGAACTCAGGACCTTGGGAAGAGCAGGCAATGCTCTTAACCGCTGAGCCATCTCTCCAGCTCCTTCCAGAGCATTTCTAACAGACACAATGTCACAATAGATTTTTTGTTCCTCTGGCTCTTAAAATATTTCTGCACCGTTTCTGTGATGCTCCCTGAGCCTTAGGTTCAGGAGCTGTATTGTAGATGCATCAATTAGGCTGGTTTAGATTTTTAACATAAATTTATTTTTGACTGATCTATAAAAACATAAAAATGATCATTTAGAGTTACCATGTGATGTTTACATGCATGTATATACTGTCTAATTTTTAATCAGGTTAAGCACATGTATCTTCTTAACATATATCACATGTTTGTGCAGAAAACGTTCAGCTTCCTTTCTTGGAACTTTCAAGAACAATGATTCTTGGAACAATCATTAGCTATAGTTACCTTATACTGTGTAATTGCGTGGCAGAACTTCTTATTCCTGTACAACTGTTAATACCAATTGATGAACTGCTTTTAAAGATTATTGGTGTATTTAAATACCCAGAATAGTTAGAAGTCTTTTTTTTTTTCTTGAAAGCACTTATCTGCAAACTCTAGTCTGTTCTATTTCATGGGATCTGAGAAGAATAATGCTGTGGAAAGAACTTAGAGGGGGCTGGAGAAATGGCTCAGTGGTTAAGAGCACTGACTGCTCTTCCAAAGGTCCTGAGTTCAATTCCCAGCAACCACATGGTGACTCACAACCATCCGTAAGGAAATCTGGTGCCCTCTTCTGGCCTGTAGGCACACATGCAAACAGAATACTGACAATACTGTATACATAATAAATAAATAAATAAATAAATAAATAAATAAATAAATAAATAAAAGAACTTAGAATACACAAGACACCTAAAGTTCCAGCTTGTCCTGTTTTCCTTCTCTTCCCACTGCGTGTAAAGCCTGTGGGCACATGGTACCTTAAAGCCAGTGTCTACACACTGTAGGCCAGATGTGGCTCCCTGCTCTTTTTGAGTTTCTTGATAAACAGCCATGCCATTTGTTTTGTGCTCCAGGAGCAGTGTGCTGTCGAAAATGTGACCTCTCTGCCCCTTTACGGAGGAAGTTGGTAGGCCTCTGTTTTATGTAGGTTGTTGATGGTGAAACTGACTCACACAAGGATTGTACTGTAAAAGCAATGCAGATTGAGTTAGTTGGACTTTTGGGAGCACGATTATCATATTCCCCTGTCTCCACATTTCCACAACTAGAAGAAAGTCTCAAGCAGGTTAATTGAGGAAACATGAGGCTCTAGGATCTTATAACCAAACAGAGACTTGCCAGGATCGGCATGGGTTGGATCTGGAGCTCCGGCTAAGAGTAGTGAAAAAAAAATGATGAAAAGAAAGAACAGGATACCTCTGCGTGGAGAAGCTGGGGTCAGGTAGGCTGTGTGCACTCTGATAGAGTTGAGCCAATTACTACAAGCAACCTGGAACCTCTGTGTTTTATTATGTACAGCACAGGGAAAAGAAGTTAGCTTGTCTTGGTAGGAGTATCTATAGGCCAGCAGTTTCAGGTTGTGAACATCTATGGGGAAGAAGTTGTTGCTAGTTTTGAACACACTGATCAATCAATAGCATTAAAACCCTCAAAGAAGGTATTACCATCTCTTTGAATCCCAGCTGGGGAAGACTTTTCCATTCCATTGGACTGAGGTGCCGTGTACCGTGCCCCCCCCCCCCCCCCCCCCCCCCCCCCCGTCTGCGCTCTGTGCGCTAGAATTCAGTTCGCGAGCTTCGGGCAAGGGGCTGGAGGTTGAGAATACAGACTCAGAGACCGACCGACACGCAGACCTTTTAACACTGATACCAAAAACCCCCCCTTTTTAGCACCATGTAGGCTTAAATACACTGCAGTCAATGGCCAACAGGTGAAAATCCCATCCTCTGATCCTCTAAGCTAGGCACAGCTTCTAGGAGGGAAGAGCATCTGAAGGCCAGGCCTCATTAGTCCCAACACTGAGGCATGCCCATGTCAACAATACTATTTCAGGACTACACTATAGGGCTTCCTCTGCTCCAGTACAGAGAGTGAGAACAAGCTAGTCATGGGTGCCATCTGCCCATAATCCCAACTGCCTGGGAGCCTGAAGGAAGGGTATTTAAGTATGGATCCTCTGTGAAGCAGTCAGCTTGGAGTAGGTAAAAGGCGCCATCATGGTAGTTTTGTGCTTGCTTGCTAAGGGGAACTGGTGCTTTAGTGTGGGAAACTAATAGAAATGTCCCACGAGAATGCAGCATGTACAAATACTAATTAATGACTGTAACTTTGAGGACTTGCTTTTGTGAACTGTTTCTCTTTTAAACCTCCAGATTATAAGTCCAAGGCTGTGTTCTTTGCCAAGGATTATCCCAAAGACATCACCGCATACATTCTGTCCTCCCATTCAGTATGAGTGGAAATATAGTGATACCATTTTGTGCCGTCCTGGGCTTGTTTCTTCTGTTGGTCTATGTGCCGCACACTAAGATTCACCTGGTTTAAGAGGCATAAGCCTTACAGGAAGCTGTGGTCGCCACCATTCATTCATTGACTTATTCACTCATCATCATCGATTTCTTTTTGGGGTGAATGACAGACAGGAGTTCCTCCATTGACTTGTACCCTTAGACTCTGCTTATTTTTTTTCTACCTGTTGACATGCTCAGGTGATAACACTTGATTCTGCCCTTAGCTGGAGTGTGTAGCAGAAAACTGGAGAACGTTAATGGTGGGATGAGGATTTTATATAATGATTTTCAGAAACTCCTACCAACACATTGCTCGTGTCACAGTGGCAAATTTGTGACATCACTGGCATCATCCTGGGTGCTTGAAAGAAGCCTTACTATCTTGCCACAGAACTTAGGAATGTGCATTTTTGAGGGTAGAAGTTAGGCCCTGGGACTTGACCATCTATCTTCTGTCTCCAACCACTTACTTAAAAAAGTAATAGGCAGTTGGGAAATGATGGCGCGCGCCTTTAATCCCAGCACTTGGGATGCAGAGGCAGGCGGATCTCTGTGAGTTCGGGTCTACAAGAGCTAGTTCCAGGACAGGCTGTAAAACTACAGCAAAACCCTGCCTTGAAAAGCCAAAAAAGAAAAAAAAAACAGGCTGCTACATATAAAAATGGATATGTAACACACATGGAAACCACAGTGAAAAATGGAGCAAATTCCTGAGCACTCCCATAGCTTGGACTGTTCATTATCAGCACCCTTTAGACATCTGTAATCCATGCTAAAGCTTTACTGCTTTCTCGAAGTAATCCATCATTAGCATCATTTGAAAAATTTCTTCATTTATTTTTATTTTATCTTTCAAATTATATGTGTGTAAGTATGGGTGCCTGCAGAGTCCAGAAGAGAGTGTTAAGATTCCCTGGAGTTGGAGTCACGAGAATTCGTGAGCCCACTGACACGAGTGTGGAAAACTGAACCTCTTGAACGTCTGTAATCCCGTTATGTGCTTTCCACCACCGAGTTGTCTTTCCAGCCTCTTGACTGTAAGCTTTTCTTTGTAACTTTTTAAAGCTGTGCATACCGGCATAGGCCTTTTATCCCAGCACTCAGGAGACAGAAGCAGGTCGATCTCTCTGAGTCTGAGGCCAGTCTGTTTTTGTAGAGAGTTCCAGAATAGCCAGTGCTACACAGAGAAACTTTGTCTCATAAAACGAAAAAAACTGAATAAAGTGTGTGTGCGTGTGAGTACAAATACTCGCTCAGGCCACTGAGATCAGATCCCCTGGAGCTACATTTGCTTGTGATTGTGGCCTGCCCAACATGGGTACTGGAATCTGAATTCAGGTTCTCTGCATGGGCAGTAAGTATTCTTAACCACTGAGCCATCTTTTCTTTCTTGTCCTTTAGTGTCAATTCTCAAAAATTTTTGTACATTTTGTAGTTCACATGAGTGTGATATTTTTTTTTTACTGTTTAGTTTTGCTTGCATAAGATTTGTTATTTTTAATGATGTGTATATATGTGTGGGCTATGTGCATGCGAATATGCAGATGACCTTGAAAACTAGAGGTATCTGGTCACTCTAGACCTAGAGTTAATAGGCAGTTGTGAGCCGTCAAACATGGGTGCTGAGAACTGAACTTGGGTCCTGTACAAGAGTGGTGAGTGTTCTTAACCACCTCATCAACTGTCCTAGTCCCACTGCCCCCCTTTTGAGACCAGAGCCTCACTATGCAGCCTTGGCTGGCCTGGAACTGGTTGTATGGAGCAGGCTAGCTGGCCTTTAACTCAGAGATCCCCTGCCTTTGCCTCTTGAGTACTTGGATTTAAGGTGTGTGCCGCCACACCCAGCTGGTTTTGCTTAATTTTGAACCTAATAAGAAACACTCAGATAAGGATTTATATTACAAAAATAGTACAAACTGATTTCAGTTTAAAAATGTAAACAATACAAAAGTTTATAAACTGAAAAAGCAAGTGTTAATTAAGTCTAATATGAGAGATCGAGAATTTTCTAGAACCAAAGCTACTGAACTAATGGATGGTTATTTCTTTGCTGTTGGGTTTTGTTTTGGAACTCCAGTGTATCTTTCTTAAAAAGAAAAGAAAAAAAATGTTCTATTTATGTAGACAGGAAAGTGAAATTTATCATGTTCCTTTTTTGGGTAGGTCTCTATTTGTGGAGTTTCTTCTTTCTCTTTTTCTTTTGAAAAACTGCTTCTTGACAATGTTGGGAAAGAACAAATTGAAACTTTCCAATTTTTGTACCACATTCTCAGTAAGGAGGTCCGGCCCTCCCATATGTCCTCTTTAAACACAGAGCAGGGTGTCAATTTTAAGATGGCAGACAACCAGTCAGCTGTACACCTTGGTGGCATTTCCGTTCTATATAGCTTCCCCAGTGGTGATGTGTTCTAAAAACAACCGGACAGTGTTTTCTATTTACGAATTGTAAATTACATGTGTGGTGTTTATATGCTCTCATGGTGAACTTGATGTTGAAACCAAATTATATGCTGGTGAAGGGCACTTTGGCTAAATCCCACTGCAGGACCCTAGATGATGGGTTATTAAACAGGCTGCCACTAAAGGATGACGTTGTGCTAAGTGAATGTGCTAAGTTAAAACCACCAAGGCTGTCTCTTGGAATAGTTCTAACCCATTTTCATGGCTGGATGGCTGCTCTCAGAAGTTCTGATAGCATAGGCCACTTTTGTGAAGTTTTCATCTCACGTTGTTCCTGCAACAGAAACCTGGCGGCCTGAGTTTGAGGCCCAGAAGCCACGAAAAAGGTAGAAGGAGAGAACTGATTCCAGCATGTGATCTTGAGACTGTCACACTCATGCAGTAACACAGCACACATCATGTTGGCGCGCAATGATACACTTTCAAAATCACAATTTGAGGAAAGGATGAGGTATGACTGCAATTCTCTGTCAGGACTTTTGTTGTTTAAATCAGCATGGAAAGCAAGAACATTATTTTGATTATTCAGTTTCAATGCAGTTGTGACTATTACTGACAAAAAGTTTACTTTGAGTGGGTTATGTGGATGAATATGCTAAATTTGGTGGTGTGGATACAATGAACTGTGTCACTAATGAGAAATTGGCTTCACTGCTTTCTTTGCTTCATACTTCAGTAATTTGAAATAGCTCCGCAAATGAGGTAGAAAGAGAATGGACTAATGAACCCATAAATAGAATCCAGTGCAATTTGTGGAAGTATTGAGGTCTTATCTCATTTTTTAAAGATGAACTTTTATCTCAAGCTCCAATTGTTCTTCCTTTATTAGAGACCTTCAAGTGAGTATGACTTAGCAATCCCAATGTTTCCTTTTCTCTCTGATTTAGGGGAATTGTGTCAATTTGACTGAAGCCCTGTCACTCTATGAAGAACAGCTGGGGCGCCTGTATTGTCCTGTGGAATTCTCAAAAGAGATTGTCTGTGTCCCTTCATACTTGGAATTGTATCCTTTGACCAAGACATTATGTGCTGCCTTTTCAGAACATCCAAGTCCATCACGTGCTGCTGTTGTTAATCATAACAACAAGCAGAATCAGCTCTGTAGTGTACACACTCTGAGTTTCAAACTGGGGGCTCTTCCTAGGAACTTGAAAAAGTAGGCTTTGTTTCTGAATCTTAGAGACTGGGGCGTCCCTTGTCATCGTTTCCCGGGGGCCTTTAATCATTAAGTCCCACTGATCTAAAGCAGAAACAATTGCTGTCAAAGACGGACAGTAGCCAGGCATATCACCTGGGAATTAGTTAGATATGCAAGTTCTTCTGTCATCACCCCAAATAGAATGTAGGGGTGGAGCCCAAAGGCCAGCTTCCTCAGTCCTCTAGGGTAGTGATGTGTACCCAAAACTCTAGAAATGGTTTGACTTCCCAGAAGCCCACATAAAAGCTTAATGGGCCACCTGTAATCTCAGCATATGAAAGGGAAAATGGGGGATGCCCAGAGTAAGCTGACTAGCAAGACTAGCCATATTTGTAGTAAACTATAGTCCACAGTCAGTAGCTTCCATAGCTGCAAGCTGAGTCCAGGTTTGTTTTTCCATGATGGCAGTTGCTATCAGGGAGACCCTGCAATGCTGCTGGCCCTGGGAGTGGCGCTTAGCTCAGGCAGGTAGGAAGCTGGATGCCTAGTAAGAGGCAAGAACTTTCTTCCCTAGGTCCTCTATGTCTAAAGAGGGGATACTCTGCTGGGTAGCCATGTCCTTCAGTGGCTTGTGGAGATTTAGCATCTCCATCTTCACTCTCCCTTGCCCCTTTAGGAAGGGCTTTTTCCTGTTCAGTGCTTTGAGGAATAGGGGTGATAAGGGAGAAGGCTCTGGGTCTTAGAGTCCCATGTCCTTCTGCTCTTCTACTCTTCCACCTTTCCCTGCTGTTTTCTCCTTTCCTTTACTCCCATCCAATTTCCCTTATTCATTCTTCTCCTCACACCGATGCTTCAGACTTTTGGGAGAGCTCCAGAGCAGAAGCAGTAGAACTGAGTAGTATACTCCTTAGTCTTTGTCCCAAATGGTGGCTGGCCCATGCTGCAAAGTGCCTTGTTTAAAAGCCCTTTGTCCCATCCCTACAGTGTTCAACCTACGCCCATAAATCCCTGTCCATCTTTCAATTTGTCAGCCTATATACACATGTTAAGTGGTACCTGCTCTTGCTTGAATGGCCTTTCTTATTCCTTAACTCCCGGTCCAGGTGGGTATTTTACACTGTTTGGAAGAAAGCTAAGCCTTAAAGATGAGCATCCCCTGAATGTCGTGTGCTGCAAGCCGCCTTCCTGACTTCCATTTGCTCTGTATGTCATCAACCAAGTCAGGCAACTGGTCATAAATTCCTTCAAGTGTTTTTTTGTTTGTTTTTAATTATTATTTTTAATTTAAAAAAGCCAATGGGAAAAATGTATATTTTGACGACTAGGGTGTTAATTTTTGAAAGTCATCCGAAGGACAATTAGACAGCCCAGTGAAGACTGCGGAATGCACTGACCCCCTAGAATGTGACTTTAGGATCTATCTTTTTTTCTCTGTGTGGGGTTTGGGTTTTAGTTTTGGCTTCAGTAGACTTTAACTTGGACATGTGGAGGAATGAACATCATTGTTTGTTCTGGAGAGAAGTTCCTGATAGTGTTTCTCCCCCCCCACCCCCAAATTGACTTAGATTTTAAAATTTGGTGCTTTCAAAAGACATGATTAGCAGTGCTTCAATTAAAATTACAAAAGAGACCTATCATGTGTTTTGTCCCTTTATTTCAGCCCATTCTCCTCTTCCTTACTTCTGATGGCCTAGACAAAGGGATATTCTAGACTGTGCGCATGTCAATGTCTGTGTGGACTGTAGTAGTGACTTCAGGTATCACAGTGGGGAGTGAGCCACAGCCTATTTACCACCTGCCTTATAAAGGTGACCTGAGAATAGCAGAAGATTTTGCCTGACTGCACAGTTGGAAGTCAAAACCTTATTTCTGTTACCATTCTTAACTGATGAATTCCATGTAAATACAAACATCTTTATTTGGGGTAGCTGCTCTGAGACTCTGAGAAGACTGCAGGATGTGCAGATGCACAGTAGATAGAGTTCCTGGAGTCCTGTGGTTAAAAGAACAATTTAGGAACTGCTAAGAAAGTGCATGTGGCCAGGCGCTGGTTTCTTACGCCTTTAATCCCAGCACCTGGGACTCAGAGGATCTCTGAGTTTGAGGCCAGCCTGGTCTACAGAATGAGTTCCAGGACAGCCAAGGCTACACAAGGAAACCCTGTCTCAAAAACAAAACAAAAAACCAAAGTGCATGTGAATATCAACTTGGTATTGTATGTATTGTGGATAACAATCCAACCAATTTGAATTGTCTTTCGTATTGTGTGTACAAGATTTATGCTCTATCAATGGAATTGGTTCATTTGTGGTATTTTCACAGTAAGTAAAACATTGGAAATGTAATGTTTAGTGAGATGGATTCAGGGCCAACACTGAACGTTCTTCATTGTTCTTCCTAAGACAGGAACAAATGATCTTTAAAATGGGTGCAGACTTTTGCTGTTCTTTGGATTGCTATGAAAGAAGAAACAATACAGAATAAAAGGAGTTGCGAGTCATGTTCAAATTAGATGAGTTTAACAATAGTTTTTGTTCATGGCTAGGTTAAAAACAGACAAGTAGACACTTCTCCACCCAAATGCTTCTGTAATTTGTGGAAAGACTTATGTTGTGGAGGATTGAAACTGGTTGTACTGCTGCAGTTAGAATTTTACTTGGGGCCAATTGTCCCTGCCCCCATTTCTCTGTTCCTTTTGAGACAAAGTAACAGTCTGTATGTAGCCTGGTCTAACCTGGAGCTTGTTATATAGCCCAAGCTTGCCTGGAACTCTCCTGAGAACTGAGCTTGTACCACCATACCCAGCTCAATTTTTTTGCTTCATTGGAGTAAAGAAAAGAAGCGTATCAGCTGCAGGGATATATTTTTAATGCGAAGCATGACCTGGTTGGTACTTGGGGAGTAACTTGAGGCTGCAACCACAGATGCACTCATATTTCTGGTGACTCAGGTCCTGCTAAGCCAAGTGATAGGAATGAAGAGGATAAGGTTATGCAAGGCTACTTGGAAAATACGTTTGGGAGAAAATAAAGGAAGCAGTGTTGAATTTATCTTGCACGATAAAAGTGAATTCAGACTAATTTCTTGGTATTTGCTGAAGGAGGATCTCAGTTTTGAACCCTTATTATTTTAACCGAGAAACGTACAAACTGAAGCAACACTCCCCACCCCCAGCCCTGTGCACTAGCTAAAACCCATCCTTGCTTTGGCTGCCTTTTAAAGAGATGCTGATGAGCCAGCAATGCTATTGTTCTTAACGACTCTAGTGTTGTGTGGCATGAAAAGTTTCTTTGAACAGTGGAATATATTATGTCCTAGCTTTTTAATAAAGACAGACAAATATGGGTAGTGTTTAAAAATTCTATTCAACACAGCAGATAATAGGAATTGATTTATTAAGACATGAAATGCTGCTTTCTCTCGGAAATGTGATTGAATATTTATAAAACTGATCCAACTGGGCCAGGGGAAAGCTGAGTTGGTGGTGCTTTTAATGGGCTAGAGCACTGTTGATATCAAAATAAGAAAGATGCGCTGTTCCTTCCTGTGTAGTTGGAATAGTCATGTCCTTGCTTTCTTTCTCTGCCACACGAGTTTGCATTTCTGCCTGTCAATAAATGGATTGGTTTTATCCTGTTCTCACAAGTGGAGCTGCTCATGTTCATCCAACAGCTTTGTTTTCTAAGCATTTTATTCCCACTGAGTGTTTCTCTCTGGCAAGACTTGCTCAGACAAGGCAACAGTAGTTGGTGATTTTCACTGTGGCATAGCATCCCTCTTGGGACAGCATTTTTTTTTTTTTTTTTTGGTGCACCCTGTTCCAGAAGCCAGTTGATTGGCAGTGTTTGATACCTCATTATTGTGTAGGAGTTGCTATGCAGCCTTGAAGAAACACCTGGCCTTTGATCACCCAGTTGCCCAGTGTCCTCTCTCCCTCTCTCTCTCTGGTTTTTCGTGACAGGGTTTCACTGCAGCTTTGGAGCCTGTCTTGGAACTAGTTCTTGTAGATCAGGCTGGCCTCAAACTCACAGAGATCCGCCTGCCTCTGCCTCCCAAGTGCTGGGATTAAAGGCATGCACCACTACTGGCCGGCCCATTAGTGTCTTCTCTTAAAACCTTACTTATTTTCATGTGCATATGTGAGTGCCTGCCTACGTGTATGTACACCAGGTATGTACCTAGTGCCTGAGGAAGCCAGAAGAGGGAGGCAGATCCTCTGAACCCGGAGTTACAGGTAGCCGTGTACTGTCATGGATGCTAGAAACCAAACCCCGGTTCTCCACAAGAGCACCGAGTGTGCTCTTAACTGATGAGCCATCGCTCCTGTCTGGAGTCTTTGTTCCAAATAATAGCTAACATTAATACATTTTTAAATAAACCATGCCCATTTCTGTTACCTTGCCAAGTCTCAAAACTATGTTTGAATGAGATGTTGATAAGCACTTAATGGGCCAGCCAGCAGTCCAAGGGTAAAATGTGCCTGAGGGTTCCATAGCCAGGCATCAGGTCTTACATATCCCAGGCAAATTTTCTGTGTAGCCTGAGGACAACCTCAAACTTCTAATTCTCCACCTCTACTTCTTGAGGGCTAGGATTATGGACATGTACTTCCAGACCTGTTTTTAGGAGTTCAATAATAAATTTAGGACTCAATATGTGGAAGATTCCTCACAATGTCCCCCTCCCTTGCCCCATTCTAGTATTGGCACTGGTGATTAGACCTAGGTCCTCATGTGTGCTAGACAAGTACTCTATCACCGAGCTATAGCCTTAATTTTCTTTTTATTTTGAGACAAGGTGGTTGCTAAGTTCTTTCAGGCTGAACCTTGAATGGCCCAGGGAGGCCCTGCACTTCTGAACCTCCTGCTCCAGTTTTCTGAGTACCTGTGCCACTACTGACTTCTCTGAGGACCTTTCTGCCTGCCTACCCTTCCTTCCCTTTATCCTTCCCTCTCTCCTTCTTTCCTTCTCCCTCCCTCCCTCCCTCCCTCCCTCCCTCCCTCCCTCCCTCCCTCCCTCCCTCCCTCCCTCTCTTTTCCCTTTTTTCTTAAGACAGGGTTTCTCTGTGTTACAGTTCTGGCTGTCCTGGAACTCACTGTGTAAACCCAGCTGGCCTCAAGCTCACAGAGATCTGCTTGCCTCTGCCTCTCGAGTGCTGGGATTAAAGTGTCCGCCACCACCACCTGGCTTCTTTTCTTAGTGCTTACTGATTTAATTTTTTTTATGTATATGGGCATTTTGCCTGCTTATATGTCTGCACCACTGGTGTGCTTGGTGTCCTTGGAGGTTAGAAAGATGGTGTTGGGGCCTCTGGAACTGCAGTTACAAGTTGGTTGTGAGCTGCCTTGGGTGTTAGGAATTGAATTTCCAGTCCTCTAAAAGAGCAGCCAGATTCCATGATCACTGAGTCCTCTCTCCACCTCCAGCCAGGATTTCTTAATATTCTTGTATCTTAGATTCCTTTGAGAGCTGCCTAGTGAAAACTGAGACTCTTTTTAGAAACACTTGAAAAATATATTAAATAAATAAGATTAGCTGGAAATAGGTTATATTAGTTTTCAAAAATTTATAGTTTGATATTTGTGTTGATTTATTGCTTGTTACATGGCTGGATAGAGTGGTGCATTGAGTAATATAATTTTGATGTAATAAGGATAAACATAAGATCTGTACTGAAATGTGATAAGGTGTTGATTTCTCTTGTTGACAATGTCATAGAAATTACCAGTAATAGCATGGTTTCTCACCTACATTCATGCTTAAGGGAGAGGCTAAATTTCAGTGAGAAACCAGTGGAGAGGGAGATCCAGATGTTTACCCATGAAGATTTCTGATTAAACAGAATTAAAGAACCACTGTCCTTCATGCTTCCTTCGTCCCTCTCTCAGAACTGCAAATCAACTCTGGCAGTCCAGTTTTCCTCAGCCAAAACCATTTAAAATCTCAATTACCTAATGCAGCCATTCCACTGATATCTGCTTTACTCATTTCAAAAACGAGAAATAGAACACCAGCAAGAAAACAGCCCGGTGCTTTTGGAAAGCTTTTTGGATCCTCTTGGTTGTGATTTCACTGGGAAATGAGATGATTAATGTGGCTGGGCAGGTATACTTATCTCGTATATCTGGAGGTCCTGAGGATGTTTAGGCTGGCTCACTAATGCAGGCACTTTTCTGTAAACTGACCAGCTATGTGATCATTGCGGTGAGCAGTGCCTTCATGATGAAGCACTGGGGAATAGGCCCCCTCTCTGCCACTTGGCTCAGAAATGTAAGAGACTAAGTGAATTGAGGGCTCTCCTGGGTAAGGAGGCAGACCAGTCCAGCCTGCTGATTGAAGGCCTCCTGTGTCCCAAAAGAGTATAGGAAACTTGCTCTACCCCTTTCCCTAGAGATGGAAAGCCCCACAGAGTGAAGACTTGGATTTGACCCTAGAGTTAATTTTATTAGGGATTATTTTTTTTTTTGAGTTTTTCTATAATGTTTTTACATCTTGGCTAATGGCTATGTTTGTAGCTTGAGTAATTCTGACTACATGTATAACTTTAGCACATTTCATGTCCTCTGTTTTTAAAAAGATTTGTGCCCATGGAGGCCAGAGACATTAGATAGCCTGGAGCTCTAGTT